GCTTAAAAGGAATCGTGTTTTTATGAGCTGTTCCTAACGTAGACGGTGCTGACGGTGCAGCGGGGTGGCGAGCGAGGTCACGCGTCAGGCTGATTGACCCGTCTCAGAGTGGTCGGGCAGGGTACTGCTGAGTGCTCAGTGAGGTCACGCGTCAGCTACTCAACGACCTGGACGAGGTCGGCGTGTGTAAACAGAAGTGTTTCTGTAACTGGGCATCTCAGTGACCTGACCTTGACAGCAGCGCCTTTCTGACAGCCTTACATCTTTGTGCCACCGGTTTTGCACCATCATGTAAATTTTGGTAGCGGATGACACCAACATGATCGCGCTCAAGTTCTGAGGCATATTATTTTCGGCCCATTTACATGCGATTGCCAAATGATTTGCCCCGCTCTATTTTCTTGTAATATGTCAAGGTGACGAACAATCATGGGTAACACTGCTAACATAATGAGCTTCACCACGCCTTGAACTGACTTTGATAAAGTATGGATAGCTCCCGTGAAAAAGCTGCTATCGATAACGAATTGCGCGCAGAGCTGCTCCTATCGATAACGAGTCACGCACGGAACTGCTGCTATCGATAACGACTCGCGCGTAGATATACTGCTATAGAGAACGAGACGCGTGCGGAACTGCTGCTATCGATAACCACTCGCGCGTAGATCTGCTGCTGTAGAGAACGAGTCGCGCGCAGAACGAGCTGCGCTGAACATATCTGAAGATAAATGAGGAGATCTGGAAGCGTCTTCAGGAAAACAAAACAAACCGATCACTTTTATTTCCGCCATAATGACGTATCACACTCCGGACTGGTGCCAGGCTGGCGAGGCTAGCAACGGGACGCCATTTTGTGCCATTGCACGACAGATGAAATCCCCAGGTAATGTCTGAATAAGCGGAGAAGGCATTAAAAGCCCTTCAGGTAGAATTGCGCTGCTGTGGTGCTGGATTCGGACTTTGCCACAGTCCACGCAAACAGGATTTGCAATCTGTAATATATCGCTGCAAAACTTGGCAACAAATCTGTCGCGAAATTTTTGTCTTGGATACATTGAGACAAGGCTTTGTTTAGCCTACACTTCAAAGAGCCGCAATACTTAAAACATCCCCATAAAATTTTGGATAAAATACAGAACAAATTCCCTTGTAAAAACGGCTGGACGCTATCCCGCCGATGGTGCTTTGTTACATTTTTTTTATCCACCGACCCTTTCGTTGGCTTTAATCTTTGTCACACTCCCTGGTCGTCTAGGGTGGAAAGCAATTCCCTGCAGCTTTAGACAACGAGACAGCTGTGTGACACATGCTCTTTTGTTGATGCCTTGCGCGTTCAAAAACATAGAGTTTGAGCTGGGGATTTGGCGCTAATTCCGCTATCTCCTAGCCTCCGGGCCCAGTTCAGACGCTACGTTATGGGGCTACCAGATCTTGAACACCGGGTTATATGGTCGGTGATGATATGCCCTCCTACATTTTGGAGCATATTAAGGTTCTTTTTAATTAAGCTGAGTAACCTGGCATGCGGAACAACGCAATTAGCAACATAGATACTATCTCGCTCCATATGCTTGCATTTATATATATATATATATATATATATATATATATAATATATATATAGGTATTTATGGATGTGTACATAGCTCTCCATCTCTCTATAGCGAGAGAGAGAGAGAGAGAGAGAGAGAGAAGAGAGCAGAGAGAGAAGAGAGAGAGAGAGAGAGAGAGCGAGCGAGAGAGAGAGAGGAGGAGGAGAGAAGATAGAGAGAGAGAGAGAGAGAGAGAGAGAGAGAGGGAGAGAGAGAAGAGAGAGAGAGAGAGGAGAGAGAGAGAGAGGAGAGAGGAGAGAGAGAGCGAGAGAGAGAGAGATAGAGAGCGAGAGAGAGCGCGGAGATAGCGCGAGAGCGAGAGATAGAGAGCGAGAGCTCTATCTCGATCTCTCTATCTAGCTCTCGCTCTCTCTATCTCTCTCTCTCTCTCGCTCTCTGCTCTCTCTCTCTCTCTCTCTTTCTCTCTCTCTCTCTCGATCCTCGGAGTGACTATTTTTAAAGGACATTAAAAACTTCTGACAGGTACAAGCTGACTTTCTCGAACCATCGTAGCATCATTTTGCTCCAATGGTTTTGATTTCACAAATCCCTTGACCTCTATCGAACTAGTAAGAAAGCTTTAACGGAATTCAGAAAGACATTTAACAACAAGCCTTCGACCTAAATCGTCGGTAGCACACTTGACTGTTCATCGTTGGTAACTTTTTGTACTGACCTGGGGTGACAACGTTATATTTGAAAGAGAGACAACAAGATGTGGAAGAACATAAAGTGTCCATAGAAAAATTGGGGTAATCTTTGGAGTCGGATCTTGTAAACAGTAATCTCACAAAGAGAAAAAACTTCCCAAAAAACAGAGAAATTTCTACAACAGCCAAACAACAATTAGCTTATACCGTTTTCTTTCCAAAATCAGCGAATCATTTCCAGACCCTAGGATTTAGGTCTCCTCGTCATACGCTTGATGCAACTCTGCGGCTCTGCTAGTCCTGTCGTACTTATTCGTTGGTACTCAGACTATAGTGACCCAAAAGCTGACAATAGTTTGACTGTTGTATGGCTCGCCATACGATATGCTCTGTCGTAATGTTTGCTCAATCCAATCGACAGTTTTAAAGGCTGATTTGTGCTACGTCAACTAGATGAGTCGGTGTCATATGTGTGCGTCGTGTCTTATCAGTTGGCTTTGTCTGCCAGCAAAACGGCGCTCTCGTGTCATTTATCTACATCGCCGCATGCAGCATTGTTTCTACTTCTCCCGGAACTATTCGCCTTATCAGTTTGCTCTAGAAATGAAACTTTCCCCCAATTCTAGTCGCGCCGGATCCTCAAATCTCCATGCAATATAACACATCCGCAATAAAAGACACATCGCCGGCATTGGCCTCTGCGCCAACGAAAGTGTCGCACAAAACACCCATTCCAAACAGTACTGCTGACGGTAAATGGGTTTCCCAGAAAAATCCAGTGTTTTATGGCCAGTTGGCTTGGCTCCGAGGGCAAACATCAAACCCTTGAACAGCGGCATCAAAAGTGCGCCCTGCTGCTATTGCGTGCCTCGTAACCGAAAATGAATCGAGGCAGAGAGCTCGCTAAAATCGGGGGATAGACAGCAAATCCAAACACATCGCCAGGCGTTACCAGCGGCTGAATCTCCACAAAGTGATGCGCTCGGGCCCTCAAACGCTGCATTAAGGAAACGAAGCACACCAGAAACGATTGGCGTGAATAATTGTCATCCAGATAAGGAAAGACAAACGCAATGGTTTAATACATATATATATATATATATATATATGTATATGTATATATATATATATATATATATCCATTTCAAATACAATTGCAAAGAGCGATGTACGCCCGTGTTGATATTCGACTGCTGGAGAAATCGCATAGGATTTGTATACGTGCACCTAACGTAAATTAGGCCTTGTCGCACTTCAAATGATAGAAGTAGCGGTCCGCAAATATTGCAGCATTCGGCTTGCGCGCCTTATCGTGAAATGTCAATACCAGCCTACGCTATCATTTGTATATTTATCGCACGCGCAACACCACCACATGGCAAAGCTAGCTGAATACAAATGTTAGACTATTCCTCGCACGCGCCTCGTCACTCGCGATGACATCCACGCCCGCCTCTCGACCAGCTGCGTACGTTCCTCCGCGGCGCGAGTCCTCCACACTAATGGCGTGTCCTTGCGGACATTCCTCGTCCTCCCCCGCCCAGAGCCCCACACCGGCGGTGCCAGGATGCGCGCTGGCAGGTGCTGCCCATATTCCACGGCCACCGGGGCCGCGCCGCTATTGTCGACGGCGACGCTAATGGCGCGGACGCCTCCCCGGACGTTCCGGCCGCCGGCGGCGGAAGGCGGCGACCCTGGTGATTAGCTAAATCGGTCACTGGGACCGCGGGCAGAAAGGAACCCCCTGGGGATGACCGGGCATGACCGGCGACGTCCTAGGTGTGGCCAGGGGTGGGTCGATGATCACCCGTCCTCGGCCAGTGGAGGTAAAAGGGCAAGTCTATCGGAACTTGAAGAAATTCGGACACAGGCTGAGGACAAACGTTGGAGTTTTCAAGCAAAGCGCCTACTATAAGCATAACCGGGCCTAGATATACTGGGAGACTTATTCAGTGGATGCGTTGCATGGGAAGTCCCTTCTGCCCTTTAAGGCGGTTTCACGTGCAGGCGTCGAGTTGGACTTCAGAAGGCGCGGGTAAACCCCAACCAAGGCTGAGTCAGGGAAGTGAACGGGCGGGAGTTGTTCTTCCGCATGACCACGCGCCACACTGGAGGCTTTATTCTTTTTGTTTTCCACTCGCGCTTCACTGATGATAGGAACAATTGATCCCTTGTTATGAAATCCTCTCTTCCGCCTCAGCAGCTGGGTGGTTTGATTTATTCTGTGCGTGTGTTCCCCGCACCAGCAAGCACAGTGCATGCATGGCCTTAAGTTATGTCCGTGAAGTATGCGTTTCACATGTGCAAATACACTGGTAATGCATGCCAACGTTCGCCTGGCATTGGTCCGCTTATAGCTTTTGCGAGGAGGGAAGAGTCGGATTATGAACATCGCTTTTTGCGTCAATCCTCCACAAACGTCCTCGTAAATTACAGATAACGAGCGAGTGACGCTATCAGAAACAAAGAGAGAAGCAAACAAGCCAGCAGGACCTGGAAGACAGCAGATCATCTCGGCTCGGATCTGGAAGAATATACCCAGACTGGCACATTGAACATCCACCGCGCGAGGGAGGCGACTGACTCTTCACCATCACATTGTGGTGGTCTGTTGGTATTTGACGCTTCATGCCAATCATCTATCTGGCAAAGCCAGCGCGTTAAGGCGTGGTCATAGATGCAGCTTGTGGCGCGCTGGTGACACTATTCACCCTCGTCATCAGCGCTGTCCGCGGTGCGCGGATCTCGGTTGACCTACCTCGTTTGAGCCTCGGTGAAATAGGTTGGCGTGAAACATTCGATCGGATCACCTGCGAATTGCTTGGTGACCAGAGGCAGAGACAGGAAGAGCAGAACCTGCGGAGAATGGAGCGGCGTTAGTGCGCATCGTCCTAATCAGTAGGATATGAGAGGAAGAGATGAATGGAGGGAAGACGGTGGAGCAAAGAACGAAAGGACGGAATACGTGAAGGAGACATTGACGACAGCTCCTTCGAGACGGTCTCCTCAAGGACGGGCAGAGGAGCAAGCATGATTTTAACATGTTTCTCTTTTAGCATGTTGCCAGCGACACTGGTGACACAAGCGACCCGCCTGCGTGGCCAGTGTCGCTGGTATCTCCTTTATCGGTTGTGCCGCCAGTGTCGCCAGTGTCTCTGGTGTCTCCTGCGTCGTTTGAGTCGCTTGGTCGCCAGTGTCGCCTGTGTATCACCGGCGTCGCTTGTGTCGCCAGTGCCGCCGGTGTCACTGGTGTCTCCTGTTTCGCTTTGGCGCTGGAATCTCCTGTGTCGCCAGTGTCGCTAGTGTCGCCAGTGTTGCCAGTGTCGCCAGTGTCGCCTGTGTCTCCAGTGTTGCCGGTGTTGCCTGTATATCACCAGTGTCGCCAGTGTTGCCAGTGTTGCCAATGTCGCCAGTGTCGCCTGTGTCGCCAGTGCCGCCGGTTGTCGCCAGTGTCGCCAGTGTCGCTGGTGTATCCTGTGTCGCTTGTGTCGCCAGTGTCGCCAGTGTCGCCAGTGTCGTCTGTATCGCCAGTGTCGCTAGTGTTGCCAGTGTCGCCTGTGTATCATCAGTGTCGCCTGTGTATCACCAGTATCGCCTGTGAGTCACCACCGTTTCCTGTTTTGACACGCCGATCGAACGCCCGCGCGCAGCGAAGCCCGACGCTCCTCCGCTTCATAAAGCGGCCAATACGCCATCTATAGGCGAGGACACGGCCCCCGCTTTTTATGAGCCTATGCCGGCAAGGGTGCACCCAGGCGACCAAAGGCGGGGGCACTCATCAACACCAGGCGTCAAGAGCCAGCACCTCCAGTCCAACCAACACACCATCGCGCATCTTGGGGCGCGCCTACCTTGTTCCATGCCTGGGTGCGCCCCTGTCACCGTCGAATCCGTCGCTGAACGCTGCTGTGCCGGGCACATCGCCAGGCCAGATAGCCCGGCAGGGCGAGGCTAGCCGCAGTCTCCGCTACGAAGGCTAACGAGGCCGCCTGATGAAGCGGACTTTTACAACAAGGTCTTGGGCACCGCTAGCCGTGCCGAGCATAGCTGAGGATCGGAATTTGGACACATGTCGACGCGAGCAAAACTTTTTCAATCGCTGTTGACGAACATCATTTTATATGATTGGTTTCGTCTTGTATCTCAACACAGGCGAAGCGTTGTGAAAGAAGCGTTACGATATCATGAAAACTGCTGTAACAGACGCTATAAAATCGGCCAAATCTCTGGCCGAAATCAATCCGCAGTTTCAATTTAAATTGCTTTCGTAAGCCGGCACTCTTGGCGCCAGATGTGACGCGCCGGAGACGAACGGTGGACGTCTGAAGTCGTTAGCCTCTGATTAATGGCGGCCCCCATTGGGCCGGAGCACGGCCAGAAGAACGACGCGACACGACCATCTGCCATCGATCATGGCCAAAACGAGCCCCATCACGCTGAGCGACAACATAAGGCGATCCGCTGATCTTTCGGTGTTCAAAAGGCAACGCACGGCGAGATGAGCTATTGCAGCGAAATTGGGAAGCGATGGACAGGGAGTATATTGCACATCCGGATACGCCGGTAGCCGGCATAAAAATACGAAGGAATACAGGCGGGTGGCTCTAAGCGAGTAGCTCTGAGCGATCGCGTTCCTTTTCGAGTGTATGGGATGGTTATAGATTTAACCCACTTGGATGTAATCTACAGGTCTTAAATGTGTGTCAACTTTCCTCGGTGGTTCCGTGCAGTCCGAGACTACACATATGAAAAACAATCACACAGGAAGTTCTTTGCATGATTTGCAGGAAGCATATTGCAATGTTGCAACATGCGAATATTTTTGGAAATGCAACAGCGTGAGATCCTTAAACGTGATAATATTCCTCATTGTTATTCACATTTAAAATGTGTTTTCGGCTCACGTTAACTGTTTTTCCTTTGCTAGACTAATTTAAAAAGTTACTAGAGATGCTGAATGCTCAGAAGGTTTCATACCACTGCATGCACGATTGTACTCGATTGCACTCACGTGTCACGTATGCTTATGCACTTCTGGAAACGTTTTAAAACTTGAGATATTTCACCCTCATGCTCCTCCAAGAACGCTCCAAGCCATCTTTATGGCTTAAATAGTTACGCCACCCCAGTTAAAGCCAGGCGCTTGCTGATTAAGCTGCGGTCTCATATTTACATGGCAGCCGTCCCGAAAGCCACCGCGCACAGTCCGCAACAGAGCACTTCGCCTCCAAGAAAGTGCGCCGAGCGTTGGTTCTGCGTGTGTAAAGATATGGATATGACTTGGCAGTGAGCTACAGCTATCCATTCTCGGATGTCCTTGCCATGCCCCGACCTCTCTCCCCATGAATAACTCTGTATTAGCGATCCATTCAGAAGTACAGAAAGGAAATGGCGTGGTTCCAGTCCGCGCGGTGGCCAGATCAGGCAGATACCCCGTCGCCTTCCGCTCGTGACGTTCCTGCCAAGGTTTTCAGTCCCCGTGGTGGCCAGATCAGGCAGATGGCCTGTCGTCTTCCGCCCGTGACGTTCCTGCCAAGGTTTCCAGTCCGCGCGGTGTCCAGGTCAGGCAGATGCCCTGTCGCCTTCCGCTCGTGACGTTCCTGCCAAGGTTTCCAGTCAGCGCGGTGGCCAGATCAGGCAGGTATCCTGTCGCCTTTCGCTCGTGACATTCCTGCCAAGGGTCCGTGCGGGCCTCATCGAAACGGCTGGCGGCGTTTTCCATCTGCGCTGGAGGGACGAAGTGCACTTTAGCACGTGAAGCACTAACTATCCAGCAGAATACTGCACTGAGAGTGCAGGCTATGCCTTTTACTACACGATCGTTAGCAGCGATGTGGTTTCGGAAATAATTAGTGGGGAGATGAACCGTAAAAATGATGTAACCCACCCTAAAAAACGCCAACAAACAGTGTTCCCGCAGATTTGGCCCACTTCTTTCTGCAAGTTGAGGGAAGCCCCCACCCAACTGAGTAGGAAACTACACCTCTGTTGGCTAGGTTGCTTATAGCTTGGTACTTGCTATGTGATGCTAGGTACTTATAACTTAGCCTCTGCCCAGCACTAACGTGTACCTGATGGTGTCCCGGCAAGAAAAATCACCCAGTACTAGTCCCCGGCAGGATGATGGCTCCCTGCACTGCATTCAGTGCCCAGCACAGCACACTCGCCAGGCGGCGCGCTCTAATGCGGTCTTTGTCCATCGACAGCACGACCCAGGTGCAGTTCTGTCTCCGCCCTCGAAGAAGAACTCACCAGCACGAACGGAAGTTATAGAAAAGCTCATGGGGCACAGCTGTCAGACCGAGCATCTTTGCATCATGACATGTAAAGTTAAGCTTAATTCAGTGTTAGTTGGTGTGAGCGCTGGCACAGCCGCCCCAGGGTATCCCGCGCCAGCGCTCACCAGGTGTGAGCGCTGGCACAGTCGCCCCAGGGTGTCCCGCACCCGTGCTCACCAGGATGGTGTACTTGCGGTGCAGCTTGTCGACGCTGTCGTCGGTCGGCGAGCTGCCGCCGAGTACGTAGTCGCTGAAGTGCAGCAGGAACGACATCAGCAGCTTCTCCTTCTGCTTCCTCGCATTCGGTCATTGTCCCTGGAGCGTGGCCGGCACCCGGCGGCGGCGACCCGGCGCGCACGGGGCGGAGCGCCCGCCGCCCGCCTGACACACGCTCACCACCATCTCGCGGCGCCGCTGAGACTCGCGGCGCGCGCTCGCGGCCCGCGTGGGTCGCCCAGCTCAGCCAGGCGCGGCCGGGTCGGGACTCCGCGGGCGGTGGATGCTGGCGTGTGCAGCGTCCGTGCACCCGGCGGGCTTTGTTACGGGCTCGTTCCGCCTATTGTTTGTGTTGCCAGACTTCTGCAAGACGTTCACCCTTGTCGGCCGGCCGCTTCAGCGCAGCCGTTAACCTGGCAATGACGCAACCTCCTCGAAATCTCGAAATGATGCAGTCGTGCTCACTCCAACCTTCAGTGACACGCCCTACGTAAACGCCGCAGCCTTTCCCACAACGGGTGACGGACTTCCTCTGACGTCAGACCACCACCGCGAGCGGCTCCCCTCGAGTGTCCTCTCTGCGGCGCGCGCCAAGTGCCCGCCGCCTGGCCTGTTTGCCGGGCGCGTCCACGGCAGTTATTGAAATGTGTCGGCGCCCCCGCCGGCAAATGGAGAGCGAGCCGGAGCCGCGCGTCTGCCAACTGGACGGCGGCGGCAGCGTTAATCCGGCCGGGAAGTGGCCGCTCCCGCGGCGGCGCTGGGCGGCCGTTAAAGCCGTCGTGGCGTGCTTCGGCGGCGAGGAGCGGGCGGGCGCGTCCGCGGAACCTGCGGCGGAGGGCGGTGATGTTAGTGGGGGGGTCCGCGAGTGGGTGAGCGGCGTGTGTTCGGGGGCGAGGCGCTGGAGGAGAGAGACCCTGGGAGTGCGCTGGGCCCTGAAGAAGCGGGCCTCTAGTAAAGCGTTTGCCCTTGCAGAAGGGACCCCATGGGAGTGTGCTGACCCCTGCAGAAGGGAGCCCATGGGAGTGTGTTGACCCCTGCAGGAGAGACCCCGTGAAATGGTGTGACCCCTGCCGAAGGGAGCCCCTGGGAGTGTGCTGACCCCCGCAGAAGGGAGCCCCTGGGAGTGTGCTGACCCCTGCAGAAGAAGCCCCTGGGAGTGTGCTGACCCCCGCAGAAGGGAGCACCTGGGAGTGTGCTGACCCCTGCAGAAGGGAGCCCCTGGGAGTCCGTGACCCCTGCAGAGGGGACCCCCTGGGAGTGTGCTGACCCCTGCAGAAGGGACCCCCTGGGAGCGCGTGACCCCTGCAGAAGGGAGCCCCTGGGAGTGCGTGACCCCTGCAGGAGGAAGCCGCTGGGAGTGTGCTGACCCCCGCAGAAGGAGCCCCTGGGAGTGTGCTGACCCCTGCAGAAGGGACCCCATAGGAGTGTGCTGACCCCTGCAGAAGGGAGCCCCTGGGAGTGAGCTGACCCCTGCAGAAGGGCCCCCTGGGCTGCTGAAGGACGTCGCTGAGTCGCAGCGGGGCCGGGTAGAACGACCGTGATGATGTATGTGTGTGATAATAGCCAAGGATGGGCGATAAGCTATGTGGCGGATGACACGCCAGGGTCCTGCTGGCGTTACGCACGAAACGAATGAGGTGGGGGAGATGGGGGGGGGGGGACCGGCGGCGAAAGGTTGATATAGGACGGACGATATTGGTCTGAGACAACTTATACGAGGCAGTCCCGCCACATCGAGTAAGACAAACCTGGAAAATGAGTAGGTGTTGATCGCTGATATCATAGAGTATCTACTTAGGATGAAATAAAAGCGGTTGCGCATATGAATGCTGGACTTAAGACCGGCTGCCGAATGTGACAACAGTTCATCACCAGTTGAATCATGCGGCTTCTGACGCACTATTGCACGGAAAACATGTGATGAAAATGGCCTTAAAGCTGTAGTACTCGCATTTGTCCGCGCTGGTGACATACGAGGGAATATCAGGAAACCTAGAGTAAAAATCTCAAAGTCCTGTCGTCTCGTCAAAGTCCAATCGTATTTGTCCGAGAACTCGTCCCACTCCGCGCCATTCATCGTCGTGTGCTGCTGTACGCGCAGTGTTGTAATGTAAATCACTGAGCGCAGTCCAAGGGGAGCTCCCTTGCCGGAAGACGTGTCGGAGAGTCGTCATCGCTCACCGCCGGATGACACGTCATCGATGGCTTACCTCGGCAGTTTGGCATTCGTGAATAACCGGTCTTGCAGTGCCTTCACGGTAGGCTAGTCGCGCGCGGAAGAAACGTGGGCAAACTCACACAAGGTCAGAGCGTTCAATGACATCAAGCGAGGGGAGATTGTTGTGACCTTCTGAAGGCTGCAGGCTGGAGTATAAGTGCTTATTTGAGAAAGTTCGACACTCGGGTGCCTGATGCCAGACATAGGTTTTGGTACTGTGTCCGATTTGATTCTAACGTGCCACATTGCACACATGCACAAAGGCAGCCTGTGACCTGTATTTGACCCGTGAGGGCTTTCTGTGGCGGCATTCTTAAATGTACGTTGATGCCGTGGAAACACGACGCTCTTTGTTTTGACAAATATTTAGGTTCTGAAGTGTATACGACTGGATTTTACCGATACATGCCAGAATATCACTCTGCCGAATCGTACGCCACGCAGCGATGACCTGAAATGGCATCATTTGAACCGTTCGTGTGCCGTACTTGATTCCCTTTTTGCGGGACGGGCTGCCCTGCCCGGCTGCACAGTTATGTCACAGCGTACACCCACGCTGCCAGCTTCTATCCTAGCACCCCGGTCACACTGGCTCGGGTATGCGGCTTCGGCGTCTGACGGCCATCGACGGAGGCCGATCTCCTACAAGTGCGCGAGCAATTTCCGAATTCTTTCCTCCTTGGCGGAGAACGGCACTCCAGCTGGAGCTTCGGTTCGGATTATTGCTTGAATCGCCGAGGCTTTCACCACTGACACGAGCACACGATGTTGAACATATGTGCTTTGCAATCGTCAAAAGTTGCACAGAAAGTGTGCTAGCTAATTGGCCTGACGACACTTGGACGCGTGCCAAAGGCGAGGGTGCTCACATGGGGAGCGTTCCGGACTTAGATCCTATTCGCGCTGTGGCACGGTGTGCCTACACTAGCGGAACACCGTTTGAAACGTGCGGCGAGATGGGGTGATAGCATATGGAAGTTTACCACGATATAGATGAGACCCACGAAGAGGGTAATAAGCCGATGTCAACAAGTATGGCTTGCAAACTAGCTGAATTTGAGCTTGTCATAGTCGACAGCATTTTTTTATCAAAGAACTCAGGGTTGAAAACGTGCAAAGTAAAGAAGCAAAAGAAGAACAAACAAGTTTGTATGATTAACGTGTGGAGAGATTGATGTAAGTTCCAGAAAAACAAACCTTTGAGGCGCGCTTTTCTGGAAATACACCACACAATTTGCATATGCAGTTTTTTACCTAATCTGTCTTATCAGAGTCAGAACTAGATCCCAGCGTGTGTTATTTGAGCTACTTTAGGAACGGTAGTATTGATCACCTTCCGGTAGAATGCAGACGCTCCTATAGTTTGACCGGCACTTAGAGCGCCTAGCGGTCCGACAGAGTGACATCACCACATCCGCCAACACCATGCGGTAGTTGTCCCGTCTCTGTCTCCTCTGGTTACCGAGATCTGACAGCAGATCCGTCTAGAAGCGGACGGATCCATAGCCACAGGCGGGAACGCAGAAGGAAATGTGTCAGAGCTGCTACACGCATCAAGTAACAAGGCTCCCAACACGACTGGGTGCTCCTCCGCTTGGAAAAACTGACCTCATTTCACCGGGCAGTAGCTCGTTAGTCTGCCGCTAGTTGGTTCGTCGAGTTCTGGGCGTTCTTTCGAATGCGCCCTCTGGGTTGTTTACAAATGATAAGTTTTTGTCTCATTTTGGTCGCATGCAAAAGGCAGCATTTCATTCTGATTGGAGTGATGCTGTAAATTGACACACACACACACGCACACACAACACAACACACACACATACACATAGATACATGCACGCACGCACGCACACACACACACATAACTACATGTATGCATATATATATATATATATATATATATATATATACGTATATACAGAACGGTGCACAGTCAGGCTTGCTGTGGGTACGGGCCGCGCGACGCTGAGGTATATCCGCGGCTGAAAACTTACTCTCTTCTAAAAGCGTGATGACCGGGCTCGGCCGTGCCGTTCAAGTTAAGAGAATGCTCTACCAGGCCAGTAACCTCGCGCGCTATAACCACCGTTGTGGTTGGCGTTTTCTTACGAAGCGAGCAGTGTAACGCGCCGCGTTACCGATATTACCGTTACCGTTACCGTTACCGTTACCGTTACCGTTGTTACCGTTACCTTTATAAGAAATGGCCTGATGACGATAGCGCCCTACGTGTTTGCACACAATTGCTTGAGACCAGTTCCACCTTTTTTTGGACGAAATCGCCTAAAATGTCACTCAGCTATAATCTACGAGAACGAAATCAATCTTCTCCGTTATATCCAGGCCATGATGGCCAAGACATCTGTATGCTCAAATCAGAATTCAGCCACATGAACGCGGCTATACATCACAAAGCAATTTCGAAATGTGCATCAGATTTAATTTTCGGCCTTTAGTAAAAGGCTCTCGGACTGAGAAGCTCCTCGTCGGATCCCATCTTCACGATTTATGCCGTGCGGAGGGTCTTGAAGCAAGCTCGGTTGCAGGTTGTTCTTTTGCTTATAGTTGGAAAGGGATGAGCAAGACAATCCAAGTCCGATATTGCAGCATGGGAAGACAAACCCAAGACTCGTCGGCTGTTTGCTTGCTTATAGTTGGAAAGGGGACAATCCAGGTCCAATATTGCGGCATGGGAAGACAGACCCAAGACTCGTCGGGAATCAGGATATATTCGGACGTTTAACTCTCTGGGCGAACGTGATGTCTCTTCTTTGTCAAGCCAAAAGCTCTACCGGTCGTCGGACATCACTTAAGCTCGATAAAGCCAAGCGTAAAGCAGCACCGAATATTTACGTAATGCTGGGCCAG